CGCGGAGTCGAAGAGGTGGGCACGAACTTGGTGTTCTTCGCCTTCTTCGCTAATCCCTCAATGTTCTTCGATGCCCCATTCACGCTCAACGGAACGACCATCTCTGAATGCTCTAGCTATGTGTACCTGGGTCGTGAAATCAATATGATGAATGACTTAGCACCAGAGCTGAGCAGGAGGAAGCGAGCGGCTTGGGGAGCCTTCAAGAACATCGAGGGATATGAAGAATTGAACTATCCCTGAGCCTCATGCGTTATAATGTCTGTTGTTGTTTGTTTGATGTAATTTTGTTGAAGAACATCGAGGGAGTAGCGAAGAAGACGAAGAACACCAAGCTCGTGCCCACCTCTTCGATTCCGCGGTCCTTCCTGCCTTGACGTACGCCTCAGAGACTTGGACTCTACGAAAGCAGGATGAGCATGCGGTTGGCGTTATTCAACGCGCCATCGAAAGGGCGATGCTCGGAGTTTCCCGCTACACGCAAGTGAGAGAGGGAATCCGGAGCTCCGCACTCCGCCGACGATCGAAGATCAGAGACGCCGCCGCATTTGCCAAGGTTTCGAAGATCAGGTGGGCCGGACACGTCATGCGTTTCGAGGACGACCGCTGGACCAGAGCGATCACCGACTGGATTCCACGGGATGTCAAGCGAACGCCTGGACGACCGCCTATGCGATGGTCAGACTTCTTCGTGAAAGCTCTGAACGAATGGTATGAAGTTCATCGTGTCCCTCGTGTCCCTCGAGCAGAGAGAGTCATTGGGCAACTCTTGCACGTTGCAGGGACGAATGGAGACGTTACTGGCGCCCGCTCGAGGAACTCGATGATCAACGGGAGCACAGGTGATACAGGTGATTGTTTGGCACAAGCACCGTTCAAACTTCGCGATGACGAGAGTGATGCTCTACTGCTGCAATGGAGCTCCATTGCTACAGAAGAGAACGCGTCCTCAAACGAGGAACGATCGGCGCTGGATGCTAGTGTTTTAGGAGAATAACGGAGAAAGAGAAGGACCTAGGCAGTGTGAGCGAGGCGGTCCCTACATGTAAACTACGTTGTTGATGGTTATGCGACAACTAGAAGTTTTTGGGGTTTGAAAGGCCACGGAGCCAGTAGATACGGGACTGTGGCTGGCAAGGCATCTAAAGATGCAGAAAACCTGTTGCGAGCCACGGGATGTGCTTTTATAGAAGAGATGACTGTGAGGTGTGAGCCACCTATCATCGTGAGAAGCTGCAATGTGTAAAGTCACAGTAGTCATAAATGTAGTGCAGGCGTGAGAGCCCACAGAAAATCAGAAACGTGACGCGATTGAAAGGTTTGAATTCTTGTTGCCCGTCGACAGGTGTTCATGGAGTAACCGCAGCGTTGGTAGCAGCAGCGTGCAGCACAGAGTTTCATTTGGCACCATACAGGAAAACGAGCGAAGCTGACATTGTCCTAGAAACTTTAATAGAATCACAGAGGCCGGCGAGATTGCAGCTACAGCTTCACTGATAGCATCAAGATGTTCTAAAGGGCTACTGCACTCATTGAAATAATGTCTTTAGCTTAGAATTCTTTGCCGACGAACTTCCTTCTCAGTGGATTGGTGCGTGGGGTGGAATCGTTGAACGCCTAGCCATTTAGTCGAGACCGTTGGATGTGATGTACAGACACGCTCAGCAGCAAACATCCCTGGGAAAAGTTGTTTAGAACTCCCACATCCCTAGGAATGAATAATTTATTGCAAATGTCGAAGTGGTATTAGATGTTGGGAAACTTTTTATGACCACTGATAAGAGAAGCAACGCGTAATACGTTTCGGTCACGATCTGTTGCCTTGCGTCATGCAGTATTTACTTCTTTTGCTGTCAGGTATTGAACATGATTATCTCAATAATTCTCTCTGTTAACTGAATATCCAGCTAATTGTGTTTTTTTCAGTGACCGCAGTCGCTGCGCAGGATCAGTTCGGATGCCGATCAAAACAATTTCAGTACTGCCAAACACTTTTTGCCGATGGTTTAGGACTGAATAGTACAGCGTCTGCATTGATGTTCAAAGTAATTATCTAACTCGATCTATCTGTTCTTACCTCTGGTGCTTGAGACCCTGTGCGAGTCGAGGAAAATTTGCTGTGCGATTCACTTCACGTCTACATAGGAAAAGAGTTGAGACCTATCTCACGATTGCTAGCCGTGGCTTGTGGAGAAGAAACATGAAATTGCTCGCGGTCAGTGGGCTCATCAGCGAAGGATAACAAAGCTGAAAAAGCCACCCAAAGCCCAGTGACCAGTAAGAACAACCGTCTACAGACAGATTGAACTTAGTTCCTTTCATTGAGCCACTTTTCTGTTTGTCTCTGCAGTCTGTTGTCTGCACGGCGTTCTATGAACACTGTGATTTCACCTTTTCTAGCTTTTCGCTTTATGATGAATGATTCACTTACTCCGTAGTCCCCTCCACCCGAAGAAGACCATCCCCTAGTTTCCCTCATGTTCTTACACCGAGTAAGCCGTATCCTAGTTTCCCTCATGTTCTCTACACCTTTAGATGTTTGACATCGCCTTTCCCTCTAAGCTGCCGGAGCTATAGCGGTCTTGGACCAAGCCTAAAAAGAATAGATGCTATCAACGTGATCGTGCAGATTACTAACTAGAAACCTCGTGATCTGAGTATCAAGTCATAATACGGGCGCGTTCCTCGCCATCGTTAAGAACCTGATGCGTCTTACCGACGCCACTGAAAGGCAGAAGTGGCACTCCCTATGCTTTTGCAGACCTGCCCTCCATATACACGGGGGGACGTTCCAACTCTTAAGCTGCCGTGGGAGTGTCTTCAAAAGTTATGAAGATTATCAGTTCAAGCACTTCATGTTTACATTCTCCCATATCGAGTTTCAGGACTACACAGTGTTATACAATTGGTTTCTGTACAAATGGGGACTCACACCAGGAGACACCACCAACATGCTCAACGTGTGCAAGTTAGTCCTTAATAACCACTACTTCGTAACCGAGTAGCCGAATCAACCAAAATTGTAGCCAGTTGGAGTTTTTCAATGGGTGTATGGGCAACGATCGAGGATGCTTCCAGATCCAGGAACTCATCAAAGGAACTGATATGAACAACGTATGATAACATTACAATGTTGCCAAAATTAAGAGAACGACCATGATGCAAAGTGCGCCGCCTGAGTCCAGTATAGGACACTCATTATAGATTCCTGACAACTGAATGTCATGATGGCTGGTGAAGAAATTTCACCTAATGGAGAGCTGCAGATGGTTGAACTTTTTGCTTTCAAAAAGACGGAGAATTCTGATGTATCCCACTCTTCGGTAACGAAGTATTATCAGAGACAATTGTACACTCACCAGCTGGTCAGCTCCTTAAGTGCACAATAAATCCTAGTCCGTTGCATACGCGAAGTGAATGGGTGTGCAGCTACAGTAGATTGCTATATGCAGCTACAGTAGATTGATACTTTCTGAGATCAACATTGCACAGGAACGAGAGGGTAGTGCTACCCGGATGCCGTTTCCTGACTTCTTCCACGCTGAAGCACTTCTATATACCAGACTCGCCTCAGTGAAGGAGGCGATCAAGTCCAAGGAGCCGACAGGAACAATCGCCGGATTTTTTTAGCTCGCAAGGCAATGCGCGGAGATACTACAATTGCTGCCACGGCAGCCATGCCTAAACATAGCCTACCCTAGTTGTTTCTAGGTCTCTCATGTTTCGCGTTCCTTCTCCATTTGTGCAGCATATGTTCTTTGCGACACTTAGAAGTCGACGCAGTTGCTACACCTTGAGGGGAGCGCAAACGGTATCAGGTTTTTAATAACTTCCATCCTCATTTCCGGCAAGCTCTTAAGGATCGGTACTATCACACTTGTACAGGTGCTCACTCATTCACTCACACATAACAGAATTGTCTCGAACTGACCGTTACAGTTTGTTTCCGAGTACGGAGATCGCCCATAAACTCATCTTCTCCTGAGTGCAACTGATAAAATCCGCTCTTCATTTGACACGACATTTTATGGCTCAATAAATCCTATTTTAGAAATGATACTTATAGTATAGTTTTCTCATAGTCAGGCTTTCTCAGTCACGAACATTGTCATTTTATCAAATTCACTGATGCCCAGGCCTCTACAGTACGTCGCCCTTATATAATAGAAACTTAATAATTGAATTCATTTGAAAAGTGAGAGCCAAAAATTGTACTGACCTATCGGTGAATAAGCTAGTTTTTAGAAGTGAGCATGTAGTCCGAGTAAGTATGCCCGAAATAGTACAAGTATTCCACGAGGCAAATCTAAAGCAACTTTAATTAACCAAATCTTGAGCTCGGATACACGAGGGTGTTGCACGTCGTGCGCGCAGCTGATTTATCGTATAGCTATCAAAACTATTACAAACACGCTTGCGTCATCCACTTACATGTCGTCAATAAGTATGATTATGCAACGGTTGCAGGTATGCAATATTTTTTCTTCTAGTTGATTCTATGTTAGATAAATTTGAGTACTAGGCTGCGCATTGCATAGCATTGCATAAGTAGACCAGGTGAGCCTTATCTTTTGCCGGTTTTATCATAAAATACGAAAGTTAGGAATCACCTAGCTGACAACACCTTATTTTTAGTTTCAGGTGAAAGTGCTAATTTATGACGCTGCAAACGTTCTACAGATGTTCCTGCAGTGAAGCAATCGAGAAAGCCTTTCTATTGAATTCTTAGCAGAATTGCGATATATGACTGACGAGATGTCCCACTCGTGATCATCATCGCCCGCATTCCTTCCTGTGGTGTACTGCTGGATCGTTGATTTTCAGAACGATGTCCTCGGTGGAAGGTCACAATTGGACATTAGCTTCTCCCCCCCCCCATACCCCGGGTAGGCACCACGAGAGCCTTCATTTTGTGGTCACAGGGAGGGTTTCATTCATATACATCCTACTATATAGTGTCGGCTATGTCCGTGTGCGTATGTGTGTGTGTCTGTGTGTGCGTCTGTCTGTCTGTCACGAAATTCATAGCACCTGAAGAACTTGCAGGGGTCGGGTCATGGTGGGGAGCCCCGCCGTGGGCGGGGCATGCGTCGAAAGTTAGCGATGTCACTGAAAAAAGTCATAACTCGGTTCCAGAGCAGTCCCCAGGTGAGGGAACAGTGCAGTAAGTTAACAAAGGGCTGACCGACCAAACAGAGGAGACACACCCGAGATGGGCGGGGCGTACTTGAGATGGGCGGCGCTTCCCGTGTCACTGAAAAAAGCTATAACTTGGCTACAAAGCAGCCCGGAGACGGGAAAAAGTGGAATAAGGTTAGCATTGGGTTGGCAGAGCAAATGGAGGAGACACACCCGAAATGGGCGGGGCGTACTTGAGATGGGCGGCGCTTTCCCATAAAGGTAGGTAACTCGGTTCCCGAAAATGTTTAGAGATCGCAGAAAAGTCCATGACGAAGATGAACATCTGGCAAGAGTCCACCATGTTTGCGGCATGCTGAGGCCCGCCCACAGTGGGCGGGGCGTGCATTTGAACACGAGGTACCAGTATAAAAAACCGTAGTTTGGTCCTAAAGCACTACAGATGGCGCAAAAAAGTGGATTATGGCCCCCAAGTGATCACATGCAGGAATGTGCGAGGCACTCCCGTTGTGGGCGGAGCGTGCCCCGTGGGTGGAGCCAATTTTAAAAAATTCGCAAAACGCTTCCAGAGCACTCCAGACACCGGGAAAAAGTAGTTTAAGATCAGCGAGGGGTTATTCAGTTGAGAAGCGCGAGGCATACGTTGTGGGCGGAGCGTGCGTTGAGGAGAGGGGCCAGTGTTAGAAATTCCTCAAGCGGTTCCAGAGCACTCCAGGCACTCCAGACCTCCTCTGTGATACAGCCCGGCCTTGCGGGGCGTGGCTCCGTCGCGCCTACCTGCAGGTCAAATGCAGGACTAATACCCGGCTTTCCTCTCATTTGTCCACTTCATTTCGTTCATTCTCCATGTGATCACCGCTCCTTTCATGCACCGTAATAGTGTTAAAAAATAGCAGGTATGATGCTATTGGTGAAAA